CACCGCTTATAAGCATCAGTCTCAAACTGGAATCTTGCAACATCGCATTGAGACTACTGGTCAGTCTTCTTCAGCGGCACGTGAGCCGGCATCCGCACATCTTTCTACCCAAAAAGCTACTAAACACTTAGTGAGAGATGACAGATTGGATACACGCTCTTCATTATCCTTCGGTCAACCTGCCATTCCCGCACGCCGTTCCCCGGACCACGGAGAAGTGTCATCGGCACGGAAAAAGGATGTCACAGCAAAAAGTAGTCCGATGTTTCCTTCGACATCTAAAGGATCGCGGGCAACGGCCACCTCTCTTGCCACAGGTGGACGCACTTTGCACGCTGAACAGTCGGTAGGAGGCAAGCATCTGATTGAGAAGACAGAACGCAGAGGAATAGTAACCGTTGGTGGTCCAGCACTACCTGCTCGACGCTCAGATGTCTTCAATCAAGCAGAGTATGAGGCTCTTTCTCCCGAATCACCTGTGGTCATAACCCCTGAACCGCTCTCGGACGAGCCGGAGTGGTGGCGAAAAGATGAAACGCAATTCAAAACTCGCACTTCGAGCACAGCTGCAGTTCCCGCTATGATGAGCACAGTTTTCAACCGCCAAGCTGATGACCCGAGTACTTCTACGAGAGTTGAGGTGCGGACCTCCGAAGAAAGCAAGTATACGTCTGCTCGGATGGAAGAGTCGTATGCAACGCAGAAGCCTTCCTCTTCTGGACGTGCGGATATGAAAAAATCACTAGTAAGACGTCATGGATCAGGCACGGTTCCCCACCATGGTGAAACATTGTTGAATTCGGATGTCGAAGGGTGTGAGCCAAGCACGAGTAACTCGGACGTGATCATGAAGAGGACTTTGAAGAAATCCAAGAAATATCTTAGCTCAGATTCCTCATCGGAATCGGATAAAGATCAACCTCCTTCAGCTGCTCGCTTGCATTCATCAGACGCGCGGAGATCACTTTCACCTCACAGTTTCCGATCCGTCTCTCCTCGCTCCACAAAGAAAAAGCTGAAAAAGGGCTCATTGGTGGTGAAACACGTGAAGGAAGCTGTCATTAAATCAGGTCTATCCAAAATGGATCTTTCTCGAGAATTACTTGCAAAGCAAATCTCTGAAATTATTGAGGAAGAGCGATGTAAGTTACCCCCAGAAGAAGCGAAGCAACTCAAGAGACCACTTTCTCCCGCGACGCTGGATGTTGTCATCCAAGACCTAATGCAGCACCATATTTCTGAGGATAGCAGCCCCAATCGGGAGTTGTTCGCATCAAAACTACTTGGAACGGATCTCTTTTCTAAGCTGTTTTTTCGCGCAGGAAAATGTGTGTTCAAACACTATGAAGAAATGGATGACATGAGTAAGAAAGACAAAGGAAAAAGCTCTAGTCAGCGACGCAAGTTAGCTGGATCACGAAAGAGAGACACCGAGTTGCTAAGAGGCATCAGAAAATCTCGTGAAATCCAAAAACATAGGGATGCGGTCAAAGCTGCAAGGGAGCCGACAGAAGCAGAAAAGGCTGCAGCTGCTGAAAGGGCGAAGTTGGAAGCCATGCCGTGGTTGGCACGAGCAACCTTTAAACCTATAGTTCAGCAAGGATCCTCTTCAAGATTCGTCATTCCGAAGAAATCGTCGGCAGTTGGAACTGGTCGACAAGACTTCTCCCGCGATTCTTCCAAATTGTCACGTCATAGCGACAGTGATGCCAAATACCATCCCGATAAAGGAAGAGAATCATCCCAGAAATCATCACTAAATATCGAAAAGACTGAAGTCATGAAAAGTAGTCGATCGGCAGAAGGTCTTGACAAAGAGCGAGCGACGATCTTTAGGGAGCAGAGGTCACCAAATAAACCGGAAGAAGTTGCAGTTGCGTTCTCCTTTGCAGTAATTCCAAAGTCTGGGTTACACAAGGCCAAGGTCAAACATATATGGCCATTAAAAAGATGGAGATCCGCAGCAATATCCTTAGAAGAACCTGTTGATTTCTCTTCACATCACTTTGTTGAGGAACGCGAGTTTGTCACACATAGCTCTGCAAGCGGAGGCAGTCATGTCCATGAAGATGTTGCCGATAGCAGAAGCAGGTTCGAACGCAAGATTGAAGAAAAATCCAAGCCGATTCACACAGAGCCCAGTGTTCCACTCACTAAGGCAGAATGCGCTTCTGCAACTGAGGCAGAATTAGCAGCGCTTGCTCTCCAGGAGGAGTTGTTCAGGAGTGAGCAAGTTTCTCCAGATGACCAGTTTGATGCATTACGTTATTTGGCTGCTATGCCAGAGTCAGAATTCCAAGTCGGTAGCGACGCTGTCGAAGCCTCAACTTCAAATGTAACGCAAATTGAAGTCCTTCCATCCAAGACAGAAGCCCCTGCGAGCATTGCTGTTCCACCCAAACTTTTTTCTCCGGCAAGATCACGTGACGATCAGTTTGAGCAGGTAGACTGGACGAGAATTGAGCCGGTGCCGCAGCCATTTTTCGCAGCTGACTTCGACACAGATCCTTGGCGCCTTCCACTTCCCACAACTGAGCCACTTACGCCTAAGCATGTTTTGGAAAGTCCTCAGACAGCGACGGTGGTGTCGTCGTCCTCCCTTTACTCGACTCTTCAGGAAGAACTAGATATAATCGTTAGAGACACACTGGGAGACACTGCATACGATCGCACAATTCCGAGCTCTCATGAGACTGCGCAACCCAAATCGGAAAGATTTGAATGGCCGAAAGCTACTGTACCTGTACGTAGTTACGCTTTGGATGTAATTCTTCCAAAATTTTCATGCGACAAGTCTAGAATTCCTATTATCGACATGTGCCGTTGTGAACGCTGTCGCACCAGATGCGCATACTTCTGCGATGAAGAAGAGTGGAAATATCTGTACGATCGTGCCGTTCTACAGCGTAATAGGCAGGGATCTATCGAGCGAAATGAGGAGAATCTTACTGAAGAAGAGTGTTCCACATCGTTCTCAATGAAGAAATCAGCTGCAGAGCGGTCAGAGACCACTTCCAACAAATCAAACCAGAATACGCATCGTGAAGAAAAGGTCATCTCAGTGGCAGGGTACTTTCGCAAGGATCCAGATAGTCGTATGAATTGCTTAGAGACAGTTTGCGAACGTATAACTGAACAACAAAGCGCCAGTTTTGCTCCTGCTAGCGTATCCACTTCGATAGTTCAGAGTTTCGTGAATCAGTCCCGCTGTCGTGGTGTCAGACATCGTTGGCTCGTCCACCCAAGAGTGGCTGTATCC